TTTGGGAACCACGATAATTTCTGGACTTGGATCTTCTTCCCTTTGATTTGATATGTCTGCTTTCTTTGGTTGAACTTCTTCCTCTCGACTCTGTATGCAATACAGAAGAGGTTGATGGTTCACCCGACTCCCTCCGCCGGATCTCTTCACTGAGAACCAAATTTTGGACATCATCAAATCTCAACTTATTGCTTCCCGATGAGCTACTCAGAGCTGTGACTGTAGCATTCCAGCTTTCTGGTAGAGAAGACAAAAGTATTAAAGCCTGTACTTCATCATCGAACTCGATCTCAACTGAACTCAACTGAGTTGTAACTGTGTTGAGCTCATTGAGATGATTTGCCACCGGAGCACCTTCACTCATCCGCAGGTTGAACAATCGCCTCATCAAATGAACTTTGTTTGAGGCTGATGGTTTCTCGTACATGTTGGAAAGATTCATGAGGCCTGCTGTCGTCTTTTCTTTTGCAATGTTAAAAGCAACATTACGAGATAACGTCAGCCGAATGGCTCCAAGGGCTTGTCTGTCAAGGAGACTCCATTCTTCCTCCTTCATGTCCTCTGGCTTCTTTCCCGTTAGTGGTTGATACATATTCTTCTGGTACAGATAATCCTCGATCTGCATCTTCCAGAAGCCAAAGTCCGCACCATCGAACTTTTCGATTTTCATTTTTCCTTCGTCTGCAGCCATCACTTCGTCTCTGATCTGACTTCTCTGCCGGATCGTTTCTGTAATTTTTGTGAACTACCGTGTTTCAGAACACGTCGGTAGATAAATTTGTAGCGCCGACAAATTTGACACTATTCACGTTTTCCACTATATACGGAATAGTAACCCTCACAAAAAAATTACAGAATTAACAATCTGGCTCTGATACCAGTTGTTGGGAAAAATACGCTGAAATTTCCATGAAGTCGGATCTATAAAAGTGAAATAAAAAAATTGGACACACCAAATTGATAACGGAGTTCGGCCAATAATGCCTACGTCTCCGGACTACTGCAGATATTTTATTAGGAGAAAAGAAAACACTCGTGTTTACAAACACTCTCAAACTCACTCACAACTCACAACTCAAATACACACAGAAGCTAAATTCTTGCTTTTTGCTCACACCCTTTTTATCTCTCTTTTCTCTCTTTAGGATGTTTGTATTTGTTGTTGTGTTGTGTCCTCTGAACATTTGTTCCTCCTTTTATAGAGGATGAGTACACATTTTTCAACATAAGTATACTCACCTTTTTCAACAAAATACAGCTTCTCGGTTGCTGCAATATTTCAAGACTTTGGGGCTGCTCAAATTTTTTATTCTTTTCCCCATTTTGTTGCTTGTCAAAGAGAATGGGCTCAGCACCCAAATTTTGACTCAACACTTCGGACGGCATATCCGAAACAAACCATCGAAAAGGACGCAACAAGTTAAAGACGACAAACCATCCAAGTCCACCGTGAAATTATCCACCTCAACAAGTTTCGTCACTCCTTGAAACTCGTCCGCCTCATAATCGAAAATAGTTTTGGTGCCGAGACGGAGACAAATATGAATTTCCGACCGCCCCAACTCCTTCACAAGATTTTCCAACTTTCCGAACCATGCGGTGCTCAAGCCACGATTTTCCATTATAGCCAGTCGAGACACGACCCAGAATTTCGAAGTTGGTGCAAAAGAGATGTGATGAACGAGAGAACCTTCGTACGTGAACTTGCGGAGACTCGGAACATCAAACCTGATTTTTTTCTCATCAGAATAATGTCGCTCGGGACAAATGAAATTTAAACGCTCGAGCGAACGGCTGCTGATCACAATCTCTTTCCGGGGGAAAAAACAAATATCATGTAGCGTCAAATCTTTGAGGAAAGGAAACTTGGAGGACAAGTCGCCCGCCGTAACAAAGTTTGAAAATGGGACGTCGCAAACAAGACAAGTCAGCTGCATATGAGAATTGGTGAGACGGCCATCACGAACCGAACGATTATAGCCAAAAGCATCAGTGAAAGATAATTTCTTAATCGAGGGGCAGCCGGATATTATGCGACAAATCTGGTTGGGTTCGACAATATAGACATCGCTTAAACAAAGGGATTTAAGACGAGGACATCTTACCGGTCGATCCCAGTCTAGATTGATTCGACATTTCTCCACGGATAACCGGACGAGATTTTCAGCTTCAAACACCTCATTCGGCAACAAGAAATCTCCACCGATGTCGAGAAGAGTCGCGCCCATACTAAGTGCTTTCGGGATCAATTCCTTATAAACAACACAAACATCATCATCAGTATCCCCCCATTTGGTATATTCACGAAACCTCAGAGTCTCGATCTTCAGCTTCAGTTGCTCGTACCTCGAAATAGTCTTCTTCACGAATTTTGAGAATTTGTGGTATGAGCTGCTGTTTGGCTCGTCTTCACGATCGCTTCTGAAATCGTGTACGTCAAAGTCGAGATTCGGGCGAGTGATGGTCGCGTGGTGCCATGCGTTGGAGAGGATAGACGTCCGAGTAGCTTCTTTTCCGGTGAGGAAGGATTGAATGCGGGGGATTATGTATTCCGGTAACTCAAATTCTTCATCCAAGGTTTTCCGCTTTCTACATGTGCTCGTCGAAGCATCTAAAGATGAATCCCATGGCAGAGGAGTCCACGCACCAACATCATCATCAAAAAGCTGCACATTTACTTCCTTGAGATCATTCACACTCGACATAAGATGGCTCCCGACCGAGAATTTCCCCTTCACACCCTCAAGAAATCTCTTCCCGAGAAAATCATTATTTGTGTTGCCCTTCCCACCACAGCTGGACTCGGGAAGTATGTAGTGAGCTATAATCTTAGGGCGACAAATCCGAAACAAACCATCGAAAAGAACGTAACAAGTTATTGACGACATACCATCCATATTGACCGTTAAACTATCCACCTCAGGTTTCATCACGCCTTGAAACTCGTCCGCCTCGTAATCGAAAATAGCTTTGGAGCCGAGACGGAGAGAAAGATGAATTTCCGAGCGCCCCAACTCCTTCAGAAAAATTTCCAACTTTTTGAACCATGCTGTGCTCAAGCCACGATTTTCCTTTATAGCCAGTCGAGACACCCGAAATTTTGAAGTTGGTGCAAAAGAGATGTGATGAATGAGAGGACCTTCGTACGTGAACTTGTCGAGACTCGAAACATCAAACCTGACACTTTTTGCTGAATACTGTTGCTGGGGGCAAACAAAATTTAAACGCTCGAGCGACCGGCTACTAATCACTATCTCTTTCGGGTAAGCCCAACAATCGCGTAGCGTCAAATCTTTGAGGAAAGGAAACTTGGAGGACAAGTCGCCCGCCGTAAGAAAGTTTAAAAATGTCAGATCACAAAGAAGACAAGTCAACATATGTTAATCGGCGAGACCAACCAAAGGCGTATAGAAAAAAGTATCGACGAGAGATATTATGCGACAAATAAAGTTGGTGTTAAGGTTATGGACATTGCTTAAACTAAGGCATTTAAGACGAGGACATCTTATTACCGGTCGATCCTGGTTTAGATTGATTCGGCATTTCTCCACGGATAACCGGACAAGATTTTCAGCTTCAAACACCTCATTCGGCAAGACAAAGTCTCCACGGATGTCGAGAATAGTCGCGCCCATACTAAGTGCTTTCGAGATCAATTCCTCATACAGAACAGAACATTTACTATTATCTCCGTGAAGTCTCAAGCTCTCGATCTTCAGATTCAGTTTCTCGTACCTTGAAATAGTCATCTCCACGAATTTCGAGAATTTGTGGTCAGAGGCGCTGCCGGTGTGTGGCTGGTCTTCACGACTGGTTCTGAAGAAAATATGTTTACTGTTAAAGTAAGGAAATCCTCCCTATATACTATATATAATTCCCGAATGCGTTGAGTCTACATGGCTGCTTCTGGTGCTTCGGAATCATATTTGGCCAAGAATCATGCTTCGTCATTAGGTTTGGACAAATAATATTGATATATTAATAATTAATAATCTAGGTTCGGACATTCTATAAATATTATTTTGCTAACTTAGGTATTTTAATATCACTTGTACTAATATAACCATTTAATTCTTTGTAATTTTACACACTAAGTGACTAATATATCTCTGACTTCTGATTTGTTTCCTTCAATTAGCTATTGAATTGTAAATATATTTTGAAAGTTGATAACTTTTGTATTTCTTATAGGTTTTACATATATAATATATAAAAATAATCATCTTTTAATGATCTTCGATTTTACATTCATATTGTATATATGAAATAAATAAATTATATTTATTTTTATAATAATAAAAATAATAATATTTATTAAAATTCATTAGAAAATAAAAATTATTTCTTAATTGATATATTTATGTTTAATGTAGTTATATGTTGTAAGTTAAAAATTATTATAATATAACACATGTAGGTCACACAAATAAAAAGTGTCATAGTAAATATATAATAATATATATTTTTATAAAAGGTATTTAAAATTTTAACTGCTTTTTCTCATTAATTTTAGATTTTAAGAAAAAATTAGCAAGCACATGTGTAATACACGGGCATTGTACTAGTAGTAAACAATAAGAAAACAATTTCGTGAGATTCACTCACCACTGCCAAATGTTCGAACCGGGTCGACCAACAGATTAATCGGAGCATAACTCCAGATACCGTGACTGGCTACCTGAAAAAAAAAAGAAAAAAAAATGCAATGGCCTGTCATGTGAATATTTTTACCGGATAGTTTACTTTCCTAGCTTGTGAAATCATGATACTAAGTTTCACATACAAAATTCCAGTCTTGCGAATCAAAAATTGAAGTTTTTTTTTCGGTACAATAAGGGGGCCAAAGGCCTAGTAAGTTGAGGAGGTTAGAACTCGTCGAGGATAAGATACATCGATAATATCATGGTCAAGCCAGGTGCCCAAGCCTGTGGGTGGAGAAGCCAGGCGATGCAAACCAATCAAGGAGGAAGAAGCCAAGCTCGCTAGAAAGTCAGTCGCGTAGTTGGCTTCCCGATGCACGTGATGGATCATCACGCTCCAATCCTTTTGAACCAAACTGCGTATGGCCCGGATTAACGCATCATTAGCTCCAAATCGATCTTCGGGTCCAAGGATCATTCTCCTCACACACTGCCTATCAACTTCAGCAATGACTTGGCGAAATCCTAATTCCCAAGCGAATGGTAGCCCTTGAAACATACCCCAAAGCTCGGCGCCCGTAATGGTGGTTAATCCAATATTCATAAGGAATCTCACGACCATAAATCTACCGAGCTCGTCACGAAGCAACCCGCCAACACTGCTCAAGCCCGTGTTATTAAAAAGAGCTCCGTTGGAATTCACTTTGATCAACCCCAATGCGGGCGGGGTCCAACGAATCAACCGCGTAACATGCAGTACAACACCAACCTGATGGAAGGCGACAGCCGCTCGGGAGTAAGTATCCGCTCGTCGTAGGATCTCCTATCTACAACCCTCACAGCTTGATATGCGGAGATTAAAGACTCGGTCATTTCGCCACCTCCACATACTGCTAGAGGTATGCTGTAAAAGCTATGTTTTGCAGATTCTATCAATTCCATTTTGATCTGGCCATCATATTTCGGTCAAAGATATGTTTGCAGTTTATTTATTTATACAAATCACACTTCATATCTTATATTGATATAGTGTGGTTCGAAGTGTTTCGAACAGAAAGATCACCTATCGGTTCCTTATAAGACTAAACTATTCGTTCACAGTCTAGACAGGCAGTGAGACCCCTCTTGGAAAAAGACTGTAGTGTATTCTTGATTCAGTTGGTCTTTGACTGAAGAATTACACTAGCACTTATGTTAAGTGTTGAACAGGACCACGAAAGGATAAGGTTATGAGACTCACTGACCGTTGTTGTAACCTAGACCTTCAGTGACTGATGCGTTCTCTTAAGGTA